GGAGCCGGCTCCTCACCAGCGCCGGCGCGGCCGTGAGCGGCTGAGCGTTGCTCTCCTGCCATCCGGGTGATGAAACCTGGTGGGGTGCGGAGGAGGAAGTGACTCAGAACGCACAGCGAATCCCAAACCAGTTCTGTGAAGTTAACTGGCTGCGTGGGTTTACGAGCGTCTGCTAAATTAGCGCCGTATCCTTCCCCGCGCTGCTGTAATTCCTCCAGGGGAAAGAAGGAACGGCTGGGAAACTTCACGAGGCTCATGAACCCCATTCTCAAACTTCACGAGGCTCATGAACCCCATTCTCCTGACCAGCTCCACGTAACCACAATGCAAGTTCGACTCAGCAATTTCAGAGTCGCTTGATCACAGAATCACAGAATCACACAATGGTAGGGGTTGGAAGGGACCTCTGTGGGTCACCCAGTCCAACCCCCTGCCCAAGCAGGGTCACCCAGAGCAGGCTGCACAGGACCGCGGCCAGGCGGGGCTGGGAAATCTGAGACTCCACAGCCTCCCTGGGCAGCCTGGGCCAGGGCTCCATCACCCTCAGAGGGAAGAAGTCCAGGCGGGTTGATGATTTTGTTTGGCCATGAAATAGTTCACTGAACTTTTCCGACACTGCGTGTGCTGGGCAGAGGGTAAAAAGCACACCCACGGTCACCCCTATACCTGGGAAGGTTGTGCTGATCTCTTCCTCGAGTCATCTGGCGGACAGTTTATGCTGGTAGGTGTCCTCATGTACCCACGTGCTGGAGGATGCTTCGGTCGACTTTTAGGCATGGTCAGTAACGGGCGTTCTCCTTGGCTTGATTGCAAATGTGAGAAGAGATGATGCACCAAAGATGAAGTCGTGTAGTCAGGCTTTGGGAAATGAGGTGGTAGAAGGGGATCATGGGGAAAGTGCGGTTTATTGAGTTTGTCACAAAAGACAGCTGGAATTGGCCAAGCGATGGGAGAGCTGATGGTTTCTGAAGGAACCTTACAGCTGTGTTTTCGTCAGGATTCAAGCACAGCATCGATGCTGTGAAGTGCTCAAGAAAACTCTGTGGGTTAAATCACATATATCCATTTCTTTCTTATTCCATCTTCAAAGCATGAGGCAAAACCATCCTTTTTACCCTTTCACTGTTGGTTATGCCATCATGGAGCCTTTGGTCTACTTTTAACCTCCTTTTTATTTAAAACGCACTACTTCCTTGGGGATATCGTTTCCCTTCCGTCTTTACCTTCTCATTCTGATTAGTGTAACAGAGTATGCTCAGAGACGTCCCTGTCGCTAAGATTTCTGGCTGTGTCATCTGTACCTATGATTATCAAATCTGTGATGTTATATTTAGCTTTTAGACCGAGGTCTAAGACAAGAAGTACGTCACAGGCGTGAAAGTGAATGGCAGAACTCAGAGGGTTGTCACCAGCAGCGCTG